TTGTCAACATCAATAGCATCATCAGCATCAACTCGACTTCCTTTGAAAAATTGGTTTTCAAATTCACATATTTTGACCAACCGACAGCAGTGATTATTTTCACAATTTCATCGTTTCACTGTTTTCTGTATTTGTTATTAACCCAAGACTTGATTATTGTACGTATTTTACCTCAGTATTTGTGCATGCGACGACATATGATGATTTTGGTGGCGCAGTGGTTTAGTCGCTGCCTTCGTCGTGCTTTGGACTCTATGGTCCGAGGTTCGAGCCCCTCTCCTCCCGCCACCCATCTTTGGTGGTATACAGCTTTGCTGTCGTCCGGTTCAACTTCAGGCATAACGTAGTGGGACCTTATGTGGTTCGCCACTCCGATTCCGGGTGCTTAGGTTGCCGATTTTCGTGACGGAGCAGTAGATCTTCGTGACTATTGGTTTCGGCCCGTCTGCTGTTCATTACACAGATATGTGTAATGAAAAAAAAGTGAAAAATGTACAGGATAAGGTTGTTTTACGGGTGGCGGTGGGGAGAGGAACCAGCAGTATTGCACAGAGAGTAGCACGCCCCATTTAGCATTTTCCTTCGGGGATGCGTCTCCATTCTTCTCACAGACAGGTGCTACAGGGTGATGATGTTAATCTTAATCAATGGCGAAGCAGATTTGTGCTCCTTGTCATGTTTTTTTTTACGTTCGTCTGTCGCGTTTGCACACAACAAGAGAGAGAGAGAGAACGAGCTCACTTGGGAGCCGAAAACCCACCACCATCGTTTTGCTAATTGTCCACGATCATCTATTCCGTGTGGCGATATCCGTCCATTCAAAACTTACCATCCAAACGATCTTTCCCTTCTGCGTAGATAGGGGACGCATCGGTTTGTGTATGGCTATACAGACCATCGATTTGAATCGCATTGACGCACTGATCCAGTTCGATGTACCTGTTTATTGAGTTGATTGAATCAGTTGTATCAAGCCTCGAGAAATTCTCTCGCGTGTTTTGACTGTTCGATAATTTTCACTGATTCAAAGTCAAACTGATGTCCTTCTTGATCTTCGTGGAGGGAAATCAAAGACAGTGGGTCATGTCTCCTGACTGCCACTTGGTGTTCACGGATCCTTGTGGACAGTTTTCTCCCAGTTTGTCCGGTGTAATGTTTTGGGCAGTTCTTACAGTTTATTTTGTAGATAACACTGCTCTCGTCCTTCTCCATTGTTCTCTCCTTGGGTTTTGACAGAAGCCCCCTTTAGACAGGCAATCGGTTTGTGGGCGACTTGGATTCCATACGATCTGAGCAGTCTTCCTGTCATTTCCGAAACGTGCTTGATGTACGACAAGGTCGTTCTTGTTCCCAATGCACCGTTTGTTGTTTCCTTCTTTCTTTGAATCAGAGTTCTTTTGATGAGGTTGCAGGTGTAGCCATCACGAGCAAATACTCTGAGGAGGTATCTTTCTTCAGTATGTCGGTTCTGTAGTGCGTTTTGATTCTTCCGAACAAGGTTCTAACACAGGATCTTCTGCGGCTGTGTGGATGAATACTTTTTCAACTGTGCTGTATGTTGCATGAAATCGAAAATATTCCACGTTGACTGTCCATTTTTTTCATTTCAGCGAATGCATCAAGTGGTCGACTGCTGCCACCTCCAGTGGGCATACGAATCGTTGTCTGAATTTATTTTCTCACTCTTTTAACGTGTTTCCTCGGTCAGATAGACCTTTTTCCATCTCGTGAACACACATAACACCATGCTCTGGGTAAACTCGACACAAATGACTTTATCCATTCAATCCAGCAAACGGCAAAACTCTTCTTCTTCTGTTGAGTGACATCCTCATCCTCATCACCCTCGCTGTGCGCTTTCACCCATTTTTGCCCCCCCCCCTCACACACACACACCCTTATTTCGTATGATTTCGCATCATTTGGACTATGCTTCCCCTGTCCGTGTGTTTCGACGAGTGCCGCTTTATTCTCACACTTGATACCATTTCCCCTGTCCAGTTGTACCTCGTCTTATTTTCTTTTGTGTATATTGCTTTACTCAGTGCCCCCCCCCTGTTTATCTTGCTTGTGTGTGTGTTTTGGGAAAATGTGCCAAGTCTGGAACGTGTGGCACACGCACACATCGTTGAGAGAGAAACGCAGCATCACCGTACGACATCGTGCACTCGTCGCATTCAGTCTGTTTTGAGAATTTTGATGCACCCAGTTCCCCCGCTGTGTTCGACTGATCAGCAGCACAACAGTAGAGAAGATGAATGTTATCGAATGCGGCTCAGCGTTTTCTCATTCACTTTCCTCAGACCCATGTAAAACAGTTTGATTTTTATCTGTTTGTATTTACATATCGAAATAAACAATGCAGAACAAACAACGCGTTAAGCGGTACTGTTTGAAGATCAGAAAGGTGAGAGAGAGGAGTGAATGATGAATGGTAATTTAGGCTGCCAAGCATTTTACCCTATTTCACAAATTTGTCGAAAGCTAGTCTGATGAAACAAAACAACAATTCAATCACTAAAAAGGCAATCTAAACGATTCTGACTTACTTTTTCCCCTACAAGTCGATATCAGTCTTTGTATGCATATATAACGCAATTCTAACCCCATTTGCAGATCGGGGAGTTGAGATTTTTAGGTCGGACGCATATAATCCACAACACCTCACGCAAAATTATCACAATGATTCTTCGAGGCTTGTTTGTGGCAAAATCAACTCTTGGTGAATAGACAACCGGCCCCTCCGGCTAGCCAAAGC